GATTTCTCCAATACGTCATATTTGACAAGTGATTCACAACTGTGTATCAAAATCATCAATTTGCTCAAGGTATGTGGCTAAAGAGTAGCAAATTTCCTATTATTTGACCTTCACCAAATGATGATAACACAGTTATGATAGCAATTGATAGGGCCGATCAGAAATTATAGTTCGTAATAAAATAAAGGCAAACTGCAAGAGAGAATTGGGATTCCTGTGGTAAAGTGAGACTAAAATTCCCCTCCCCCCTCCCCAACCCCAAGACTGGATATGCCCTGGTTTCTCTACCAATAACATGAAGTCACTTTAAGTATTGTGATAACAGTAGAACTGTTTTTCTTATACCCAACAGGATGCATATCCAGTAAGCCTCATCAAAACCTTCATCATTTCTCCTCCATTCTGGATTGAATCAGAACTCAAATTTTGCTCAAAACTGTTGCGTGGTACAAACAGAGAAAAGATTCTCTTTGTCTCTCRACCTGGTCTAAAGAACCATTTGAGTGTGGACTGTATTCCTCAAGGTCTTGGAGGAAAACTTCATGTCAATTATATGTCATGGATAGACCAGTGCATCCTGGGATATTCTGAGCAACTTGTAACAGAGCCAATAATTAAGCCAAGATATGGCAATTGTAAGGGATGAATTATATCAATTGATRAATTTGTAAATATTGACTTTTTATGTACATAAGTTTCTATGAATAAAAATATGATGTTTATTAAGACATCTAAAAATTATGGAYTAAAAGTTCCTCTCTGTTTGCAGACCACTACACCGCAAGCATACAATCACTTTTCTTTCACTTTTGTTTTTCTCTYTGGGTATTCTTACATGTRTTTCCAATGCAAAGACMATTTGCAATACMGCCTTAYTGATAAAACCAAAACATCAGKTAGACATATGCTCCTGGAGTACGCAGATATCATTATTTCATGTTTACAGTCATGCAGTTATGAGTTTTTGTTGTTCTAGTTTACCATTTCATTGAAATCGATAAATATTTTGGTCTGATAACAAAGTACTTTTTTATGGAAACTTTGTCACTACATTTCTGGGATGAGAAATTGCAGCAATGAGATCCATCCTTTCAAACTCTTACCACTGGTACATGGGCTTCATTACCTTTTATCCARATTTCATTGGATGATAGATGGATATAGTCTTGCATTGGTATAGACTAAATTCTTATTCAACAGTCCAACTATTATCACCATGCCAACAACACATCTTCTGCTGTACCATACTGCCTTTCTAAGAAAGCAGCTATTCATTTCTTCAATGCTGACATGGTCTTGTTCATTGCTGAGCAGTTCATTTGTACCCTTTGCATGGTAAGTTTGCCAGTTTCTGAATCCTCATGGCCCTTACGCACTGTTGCTTGGCAATCTAATTGAAGCATTTCAGAGTCCAATGGGATTGCATGTARRCCAGTTGATTGGAGCTTGTCTTGTAGAGCKGTATTCAAYTTRGATAAGCTGTCAAGATTTTCTATGAAGGGAAAAAAAATTAGTTACTAAATGGAGGATGATCATGAAAATCAGTGGTGATAATTGTGAATTAAATTTGCTGTAAAGTTCATTTTGAATTTCAAAATATGCATGTATTTTCTGTCAACGTTTTCATAAATTTTTAGAAAAAATGAGTTGAAACAAATAGTAATAAGTAGGTTACATATAATTCCCACCTCTTGCTTCTTCAATTGAGAAATTACAGTCAGATGTCATCTGCCTAAAGAACGGAGAATACAGAATTTCAAATAAAATCATTTGATAAATCGTCCTGAAACGCCAACTATAAAGGAAAAATAAAGAATAATGTGCAATAATTAATTCTACATACATCCCCTTAAAGAAAACATTGGCCTGCTGCTGTAAAGATTGTAAAATCTCACTGACTCCTTCAAAGTCAGTGTGATAGGCTTTGGACGACATCTTGCTTTTTGTTTGTTCTCTCTCGGAGTCTCGGTATCGCTTCGAGAAGCTATCGCTAAGTGTTCGGTCAATCTCCGTAATGTTTCGTGAAAACTCGGAAAAAGTTGCAGTTAGTTCGTCTGACTGGATGGCCAAATCTGTTATGAAAAGTAATGAAAACAACATTATGTTTGATTGTTGAGAAACAAAAAACTTGTAAAAAGAATGAGCTTTTCATTGGGTGCAATTAAAGAGGCGAACAGCCACATCGAAGCGCTCACCAAGCGAAACTTTGAACTCGAAGAAAAAGTGAAAGAACTCTCTCATGTCATTCGTAAGCAGAACGAAGCTCATGCAGAAAATTTGGCTGTTCTTCCTCTTCGAATGAAACAAACAGTGGAACAGAAAGATGAAGAAATTAAAGAATTAAAGTCTGTTGTGGAGAAACTTAGACAAGAAGCGAGTGAAAGGGAATATTTGCTTCAACATTACAAATACAAATGTAAGATTCTTGACGAAGTTTCAAGGCATAGGGACGCCCTGGAAAGTGTTTTATCTTGCTTGGATCTAGTACAAGAAACAGAAGAAAACGAAGACGACAATAGTAAAGCACACGTTATTGTAAATCTTGACAGAGAGACAGAATTAACTAATGGGTACTGTCAATCAGAAAGAGGTGTCAAAGAAGTGCCGAGACCGTTTCGAATAGATAGTGGAGTGGATGTCGACGACAATGATGTCGTTGCTGTGTGAATCAATTCAACTGGAGGTTGATGSCAGAAACAACCCTTTTTGTATAGTTACTCAGGGCACTGTATAAACGTTGGTTAAAATCTCCAACGAAATGCATCATTAATAAGTCATCATCCAATTCACCATACATACTATACTATCATGTAAGAATGCTTATAAAATATATGTTGGATTTTTTAAAAATATAAATGCACAAGCTAGGAAGGTTWAAGAATTTTATTTAGAAACTTTAAAATGGAATAAATATAAAAAAAGTCTTATTATTATTATTATTCTGGGATTGGTATGATAAACAAAAGTGCTGTATGATGACACAAAGTACTCATTTTTGCCTTTATTGCACAAGGCTATCTAAAGCCTGAGGCCCTTTGAGGGGGATTTAATTGGATGCTCTGTTATCCTTGCAGATGTGAAATTGAATATTGATTTGATTTTGACTGGATTTCTAATATTTTCTAACATTTTACATGCAACATATCTGTGCAAAGAGAGAGTGGAGTTCTGAGACAAGTGAGGGGGGTATTTTGTAATTTGTTGCACATTTTCCAAGACACTTCTCATCTGAGTACACCAAATACCCCAGTCATTGATTTTTTGTTTGTAAATTTGTCCATTTTTTCCATATTCAGTGTTCTGGAACAAGATTGTCACTACATTTTCAGTTAACAGTTGCCACACTTCTATGTCTTCATTGTAGAGAACAACAAAGTCTGACATTATAATCACAAGAAATCAAAGTTCAACCTTACAGCAAAACSTATTCCAGTTTATTTACTATTTTTAAATTTCTCTAGAGTACAAAACAGACTTGGATGGTGCTATGTCAATGTCATAAATTATATCAATTTGAGTGGCAACACTTAAACTGTGAAACTTAAACAGCACAAAATAGTTAATACCGATTAATTTTGTTTGACAGATAAAGTGTGTCCACTCTACTACTACTGTTAAAATAAAATATACAACTACTTTTAAACCAGTCTTCCTAGATAGATTGCTTTGGGATATCTCTCTTGCAGTTTTTGCCACTGGACAAAAAAGTGATCAGCAAAATAATACAGAATAAGTCCTGACAGTGACAGTGTTTCCACTCTGCACATACTTTCCACATAAACTATAGTTGTATCTTGTACTCCAATAATCTATACAAGTGTAAAAAAAGAAAAATATGTTTAGATAATGATTAATATTCATAATGCAAAGATATTTCAACTTTAAATATTGCTTCAGTATGTAAAATTCAAGCATAAAGAAGCAATATCTYCAATTGAAAATTATGTGATTTTACACTTGAATATGCTATTCCRTAGCATGTTACATGAATACAAATGTGCAAATTGTCCTTGTTWTATAGAAAATTTTCAAGGACACTTGGGGGTGCATACTTTATCTTCTATTCAATTGATATTGCTTGCTAACTTGTGAGATATCAATCAAAAACTCTCCAAGATAAGATCTGTATAATTTTATGTGCACAATGTAATATCCTCTACCTATATCTAATATTATAAAACTTATTAATAATGCATAAGCTATTGCTCCAATAAGGGCTGACCATTTAATCAGGTGATTGACCTTGTAAATCTGATACAACCACTAGTGGTTGTATCAGATTTACAACACGGTCGTCACCATTGAGACAACCCAACACTAGCAAAGGTCTCAGTTTTAGTGTCGCATCATAGACCTTCACTAGGTTTTGAAGCAATCAAAGACGGATAACAGAACTCGCTYATGCAACAGATGGCTTGCTTTCCATGTGGGATGGATAATTATTCAAAATGTTCTGTGTTGCAGTAAATTGCGCATGCTTAATAGGGACTAAACTCAGCAGTTACCTTATTTGTCATTTTTCGTCATTTATCTCACTGTAATCCATGTTAATTTGTGTAGGAGTTTTATAAGTCGTTTACAACATTCGCGTCCGTGTTGTATATGGGAATTACAATCTCTCGCCTGAGGCTCGAGATTGTAATTCTCATACAACACGGCCGCTCATGTTGTAAACTATACTAATGACCATGCTTRTAGGGTGTTATTTTACCTTCATGATTAGAGCTACAGCACAAACAGGAATACATGTGCCAGGCCCATTGACTATAACCTTGAGATAAACAAATAATATGTAAAAAAAACTATGGCATTTGTTTTGCTTCAACTATTGAATGKAAGAGAGTGAATGGTTTAGACCCAGGTGTTGGTGTGATACAGGCCTGTAGGCTGCCTTACAAAAGGGGGGGGGGAGTTGTTTTTTCATAATGCAGACCTAATTAAATTAGTTCAATGCACAGGTATAATGTGTAGGAACTGGYTGTTAGAATGAGCAGTTCATAACGAAATAATCTCAAAAACAGTTCATAACAAAAGAGTTTTAAAACACAACAATAAGTTTATTGAAACTGGGTGGTTAACTTACCATTTCTGGTTTGTGTGTAAATATTAATGGAAAACTTGCTATAGTCGCTTTTAATGTTGTAATGACAGTAGTCAGCCATGACTGTCTTACTTCTCTACTTCTTGGAACAGTGAAAATTTTATAATATGCTGTGGTTGAATAGTCCTAAGTCAATTAAACGTGGATATTAATTCAACATGAACTGTGAAAATGGTCTGATTATTRAATGCAGGATTCTTAGGGCCCTATTTACCTAAATATTATAACTGTGCCAAAAGTCTATTAGCAAACAAATCAAAAAAAAAAATATACCTTTAATTCTTTATCAGCCTTTTGCAACTTATTTTCATTTTCAAATGTTTCAATCTTTTCTTTGCTCATCTTATCTGTGTCAGCAACAACATATATTCTAGGATAATACATCACTGATAAACCACTCATAAGTCTTAACATTTCTGTTGTATGGCCTCCTGAAATTAGAGACAAAGTAGCAAAGGGATTATAAAAGAAAATTTTGAAATACGCTCATAATTTAGTAAGTTATAAGAAGGTCATTAGGAAAGTTTCAGACTGACACTTACCTGAGCCRGCAACAATGAGCGTCTTTACTGGATTTTCCCTTTTTCGTATATCCTTTCTTTTTCCTAACACCCACCATACTCTAATTATAGAAATAAGCACAAATACAACGGTAAAACCAGTTAAAACTTCACACAAAACAACATCACTCTTGGCCGCCATTTTGGTTTCAAATGTGTAACTGCTGACCACAATATCAAAGTACATTGAGGGCTCCCAATATATATGAAATTTTTTTGGAAAAAGCTTACATCGGCCTGATCCCGACATTGCGTCACTCTTTGATTAAAATAAATCATTGTTTGCATGAATAAGAAAAATAAGGAATAGATAATTATATTTTATCCATAAAATGTCTTTTTTTAGAATAGAGAAATTACTGACTCGATATTTTGTGGGCTCACATTTTACCACCGAACGGCCACGTGACATTCCATCGTTCACCACGACTGACTACCACAACAACAAAGCATCAATTTAATAACTAAAGTACAGGTGTATTGTTCTTTTTCCACGTTTGTATTCAGGCTGCTGCCCTACATAATCATGGAAGGTTTGTAATGTTTTATTTTAGATTAAATTTTTGGAAAAATAATAAGCTTTATATTGCTGGATACCGAGGTAGGTCCGAGGTACCATGTAAGATTTGCAACTCCTCAAGGATTTGAGGAGTGATGGAAGAGATCATTGTTTTTTAATTAGATTTTATGTTGYTTCAGCTGCTACTTGACCTTTTGAAGGATCTTTCCTAAAGAACAATATTATATTCAATTAAGAGCTGATTGTTGTAAACCACTCTAAGCTTAAAGTATCATGATCTACTTAAAAACGTGTGATTGACTGAAGCTTTAAGCTTACCCAAACGTAACCATAACTTAACATAAATTCAGTACAGTGGTATGATCAAAGTTTTGCGGTTATATTTAACTGGGTGGAGAAAAGTACTCAAAAAATCGCCAAAATTGTCCTGATTGAAAAACTGGATACCCGTCTAGATAGCTGAGATCAACGAAAGTATATGAATAGTGGATTCCGGAAATGAACATGTGGGACAAGTCCAAAGCTATTATCCGATATTTCTAGGTTACATAAAATTCTATTATGACGTTATGAATAAACATATAAAACAAAATAATTATTACAGAGTGCTGTAAAATGTAAAGTAAAAATTATTTCGATGAGTTTTTTTTTATCCAGTATCGCAGGTAATCAGAAAGTTTAGTGAAGTCTAATGAATTAGTCAGGCCAGCTGATTCACTTAGACGRCAAAGTTGACTCTTTTAACTTAGACGACAACATTGTCTGGTTTCCTATTACATTGACTCAGACGTTAAAGTGTCTACCCAACTGACTTAATAAGATGACTTGTCTGGCCAGMTGTTTGACTTAGACAGAAAAGTGTCTGTTTTTTTGGTCGATTTGGACTTAGTTACTATGATTTAGACGTCTWAGTGTCTAAGCTAACAGTTCGACGTAGACGAAAAAGTGGTTGTTTAACTTATGTACTTAGACGAAAAAGTGTTTGGCTAACTGTGTGATTTTGTTGTCTGGCTAACTGTGAAGTTTTGACAGCAAAATGACTGATTAACTGATTGACCTACAATTCAGTGTCATGACTATTATGTTAGGCATGAATACATTAAGGTTGACTTAGACGGCAAAATGTCTGGTTTACTGTCTGACTTTATAGAAGCGTCTAGTTTACTGTCTGACTTAGACGGCAAAGTGTCTGGTTTACCGAATGTCTAATTTACTGTCTGCGACTTAAAGCAACAATAATGTCTTGTTATGTTATTGACTTACACGGCAATAAAGTCTGCTTAACTGATAGTCTAAGATARCKAAAATGTCTGGTATATTGATAGCTGTAAGATAGCAGTAATRTCTGCTAAACTGACATTGAAAAATAGCAAGAATGTCTGATTAACTGATTGACTAATTTATTCATGCTTCYGRATATTGTTATACTCCTGGGTACTATCAGTGTTGTTGTACAGTGAAATATTGCAGTTATGTTCCTGAATTGTTACAGAATGTATTTAAATGTG